AAATAGTGAGAACAAGTCTATTTTCAGCTTCTTATTGCTTACTTTAGAATCAGAATGAGAAATTCAGTATTTTTGTTCATAGGAAAAATTTTAAGAATATGAAAAATTTGATTGTTCATCAATGGGATGTCAAATCCTTACCAATCTTACACCAAAAGATATATTTAAGATAAAAATTTTAAGAATATGCAATAAAGTTTTTTTTTTAAGAATATTTCTCAAAACACCTAATCAGCATGAATCCTTTGTTTGAATAACTTAGTTTACCACTTGCTTGCACATCGATGGTGCATATTATTTGGTAAATATATATGCACTTGACATTTTATTATGGAGTATATATTTGATAAATAATATAACATAAGTTGTTTGTGATTACTTATGAGCTAATTAGATGGTTGAGGGGTAGCTTACATGAATATTTAGTTGATGGTTATACATTGGACCAATCTAAATTTCAAGAGTTAACATGTCTTACTGTTAAATGATATTAAGTTTTGAGTAATATTGAATGAAAAAGTCATTGTTTGTATTAAATATGTGCGCACTAATTAGTATTCGTTGCACATTTCTTCAATTTTCATTTTCTAGGTATTCAAATCATCAATTCATTTCTAGTTAAATTAGAGATCAATTAAAGCTTATCAATAAAAAACAAGTTAATTAGATTCTTATGCTATGTTAGTAAGCTTATAAACCATCCATAATTGATGTCTGATAGAATTTTGATTATCCAAATGACCTAAAACTCGGGATTGTAGATTCATTTACACTCATACTACCAGATTAGTTTGTTCAATAAACTTTTTGGGGTGAAAATGTAGTAAAATTACTTAGAAAAAAAACCAATCTAGAAGCAGCACCTAATGTAAAACAATTCTACCATGCTAACTATTATTCAAAGAAATTTTTAGTTATGTGAAAAATATGGACCAATTTGTGCATATTTAATAATTAACTAAGTCAAGGCAAAATTCATCCTTCTGATGATATTAACTTTTCTTTGAGGAGAAAATGACAAAAGTGTATGTAACAGCTGCCTAAAATCATCCCTCTTTTAACTTTTGTTCTTTACATACTTATATTTATTTGACGTTTAGCCCCCAAAAACATTAAATTCATGCATTTGCTTCTTGTAGTCTTTGTATTCAATAGCAATTTTTGAAACATTTTGTAAAACTAAATGTTGTGAGGTTCATTCAAGTAGCAAGGGATTTGGTTAAATCATACGCCATTACTAGGGATTCATAGTGTACATACCTAGTGCAGGAAGCATTCTTTGGCACATCATCAACCTTAATCTTCTACTTGTGATCCTCGTTTTTAAATCTTTTTAATTACTCTTTACCTAGATGAACTAACACCTTTTCTGAATTCATATCTCTTGACTTGCCGTTCACCTTCAGATATGCAGTCATGGGAAATCATCTTAATCTTGACACCCTTTGCCAACCTTGATGCTTTCTATATAGCAGATAGTTGACAAAGAAAATATTTGTCATGGGTTCCTCTTAATTCCTCCAGAACATTACCCCTATTGATAAGATAGAAAGAATCAAAAGTATAGATGCACTACACATAAACCAATTGTAACCACAGTTTTACATGAGGTGTGAAATGAGCTTAATTTTTTTCATTTTTCTTGAGTTGAATTATTTTTTTAGGAGATAGAAACATATAGTCGCTTACATAAGATCATAACTTCAGGTGCCTCATATATTCAAGAAGTATTCTTTATTGGATACCTTTACAACATCTATTCAACGATTCAAGATATTTTAAATAAAAAATATTGATATAAAAATTGATACTAAATTCATTTAAAAAACTTAATTATTTTCCATTATGCAAAAAAAATTAAAGATGTAATCAATTTATTTAATAGTTTCACAATTTTTGCACGACGACACTTATATATATGCCTTAAATTTTTGTGGCTTCGTGTTAGAGAATTTTGTAACTTTCAAAAAGAATAACTTTGCTGGCTAGGAAAGAAGAAGAGGCAAATGGCCTGAAAAACTGGTTATTTTTTCCACTGTGAATCAAATCAATTTATTTTCACGATTTTTGCACAAAGATACTTATGTGTTGCCTTAAGTTTTTCTGGCTTCATGTTAGAGAATTCAGTAACTTTCAAAGAGAATAACTTCACTGACTAGGGAGGAAGGCAAGACAAATGGTCCAAGCAACTGTTATAAATACTAAGGCTCCTAGAAACATACAGAGGAGACTATACTTTATTGTGATGGTGAATTTTTGACACGAAGGTAGAATAGATTACCTCCGTTGAAGGCTTACTCATTGGTACCAAACCGTACGGTTGATAGGACAGGGAACAACCGAGCCCAAGTGCTTGATATTGTTATTGTCATTCCATCTATTACGAACCATTACAAGCTCCTTTCAAAGCTAGTAAGACCAATAACTACTCTTTCCACATTTCTTTCTAGTTTTCATTCTCAAAATATTGAAATCTTGGATTCGTTACTAGCTAGACTGGAAATCAGCAAAACCGTTTGGGCTCAAAATCAAGTTAATGAGATTGATAGTTTTCTTAAGTAAGCTTTTAAGCCCTTTCTATAATTGATGTTTACTAAAATTTTGACGGTCAAGATACACTAAAAATCGAGATTATAGATTTACAAGGTGTGTGGATAAACAACTATGAGAAGGTTGCTGCAATAAACATGTTTTAGGTGAAAAGATAATAAAGTTACATACGGATGGAATAAACCACTAGACACAGTACCATGGAAAGCAAATTTACCATGCTAAACAATATTTGCAAAATTTTTTAGTTATGCCAAAATAAATTAGACTTACTTGCGCACATGCATTTAATAAGTACCAATACTCGATTAAAATTTTTTTTGACTATCCAACAACATAAGTTCTCTTAGCGGATGAATGCGATAACATGTTCATAAGGATTGCTTAAAATCCCCCAGTTATTTTTTTTCCCATAACTTAGGCCGTATTTGGAAGGTATGTTTTTTGCCCTCTTTTCAATAGACAAGTTTTTTTTTTTTCTAACTATTTTGACTATATTAACTCTTAAAAAATACCCCAAAATTTTTAAAACACACAGTCAAAATACCCAAAAATACACAAGTTTTTTCTTCCTTTCTTTTCTTCTGCTTTTTCATCCTCGCCACCTTAGGCCATCGCTGAGGCCACCACCCTTCCTTCCCTCTTTGTTTTTTACTTTTTTTCCCTCTCTTTCTCTCCCTTCCATTCTGCCCTTTCTCCCTTAAAACTCCACACTTTACCCTACATTCCTTCCCCCCACAATATTCCCTTCCTATCTCCTCTAACCCATTTTTCCTCTTGTAGAGAAAGATCCCCAATTTTCCCTTCTTGGATCATACTTTCCTCTTACAATAATTATTCAAATTTATTTTACAAGGTTTTTTTGGTTGATTTTCTATTGGATTTGTTTCTTTGAATAAATTTCATGGCCTAAAAGGCTGAAAATGGCCCAGAAGATGGAGAAAGAAGAGACGGAATTCAAAGTCATACCGGAGACCATCATACCCTGTGTTAATAACTGCAACAATACTGGAAATTTGATGACAAATAATAAGTGCCAAAAATGCTTCAACGCCACATCATTTGCCTTCTCATAGTTGTCATCTTCATCAACATCCTTATTGGTAACCTCTTCTATAGTAGGAGCTAAAAAATTCGGAGAGAAATCTCCTAGATCTAGCTCATCTAAGAGGCTATCGCCGGAGAGGATGCTGAATCTAGTGGAAATAAGATGAGATCTAAAGAAGGAGATAAAAGGAGACTTTATCAGCTTAGGCTATAGCTCAGGCTACAGCTTCGGCGACAGAGGGGTGGTTAAGAAGGCGGGAGAGAAAGAGAGGAAAAAAGAAAAAAAATGACGGAAGGAAGAGTGGCGGCTGATGGGGCGCCAATGGGATGGAAGAGCGGGGGAAGAAAGGGTTTACTACAAGGAGGAAGAAGAAAGAGGAAAGAAGGAAAAAAAAGACAGAAACGGAAAAAGAAAAGGGAAAAAAAGAGAAAGTCTTCAATTTTTTCAAATCTTAAATACATAAAAGCTTTTTACAATTTTTACAGTAAATTGCAGCAAAATTTTATACAAACAGTCAAAATATATACCATCCAAGTGGGTCCTTAGTTATTTGACATTTAGCCCTTCATTTCAACAGCATTAAGTTTTTTATTTGAGCAAAATGTCAAAAATATCTGTAACGGCTTCATAACATATAATAATTTTAAGAATCTATATATTTTGCATTTGGTTCCATATCATAAGCATTTAATGGTTAAATTTTTAATTGAGGTAAACTTGATTCATCATTTGTTTGACATTAGTGGCCATATCATTAGGTGAACATATGGAATTGTTCACATTTGTAATGTGGAATATGCATTTGATAAATGTTATAACACAAGTTATACTCAATTGCTTTTCTGAGCCAATTAGTTGGATAGCAAGTAGAGTTCTTGCATATTTAGTTGATTGTTATAAATTAAGGTTATTTAAATTTCTGGAACTAAAATGTCTTAATGGAATTCATTTTCTAACAATTGTTTAGTGAAAAATCACTAACTAATTGTGTGAGAGATGCGAATACTATATAGCTATCCTTTCCATATTTCCTTCTACTTTTCAATTTAAATATATACAAATCTGTAATTCATTACTAGCTATGTTATAGATTGGAAAAATGTGTAAAAATATGAGTTAAAAACCAATCAATTGGCATCATACTCATTCTCATAAATGGTTAAATATTAAGGCTCTTTTGGACTTGTATTTAGAGAAATAAACGAATGCAAGCTAAGCGATAAGATGATCGAATATATAAATGATGAATAATGATTGGAAATCAATTTATTTACCATAAGATCATAGAGATGGACTCTTTCTTTTAGATCATAAATGTATTTCAAACAAATTTTACTTTGTAAAAATGTCTTACAATTCTATGTCAACATTGAAGTTTCCAAATGAAAAATTAGATCAATATATAGATATATATATCGATAATACTTAATTGCAGAAAATAAATTTTGGTAAAGTAACTTGTGTTGTTCATTAATGAATCTAATACGAGAGTCCTTTTCTAAAAATGAAAGTAGATGGTGGTTACTAATGAATTCACTGTCATATAATGTTGAACATTCTTAGCTAAGCCTCTAGGTAATTGACACCTAAATTCTAGCTTTGAGCTGGAACATGTGTTTGGGTCGCTATCTAGAATAAGACAAATGCAGAGGTAGAAGAGTGATAATTAATATTGGTAGAAAAATGGTGAGGCAAAGAATAGTACAAGTTCTTAGTGGCATTGTAGAAGAAGATGCGCATTGAAAGAAATAATCACTATATTGATGAGAAAAATCACTATAGAATGATTGTAATTACCTTATTCGGATATCTTCAAGCATATTCTAAAGGTAATGCCATAACCATTGATACCCTCTTCATTTGTGTCACAAGAAAATAACCTAAAAAGGTTTTAAAGTTGACATAAAAACAGAGAATCATCAAATTGTAATTCTATAATCCAATACTTACCTTTTACTATCAGCACTCAATGCATTTTTATTCAAGAATGACCAGGTGCATCAATGCACCAATATATGTAAGAAAGGAAGTTTGTTTCCTACATATGAACCAAAAATTAAACCATATGGACTCCACAAAATACCAGTAACTAACATGTGTGAATTTCGATCGAAATCATTCTATATTGAAAGGGTATTGTTTATTGCAAGAGAACTAGGATCACTTCATTATGAAGGATCATTAGTTGATTCATTTGCCAAGAAGAATGATCAATAACTGATTCATTTGCCAAGAAAGGAGAAAACCTCTCTTTTCCAAATTTTAAATGCACTCTGAAAAAATATTACTTGAAATGTTTCACAATTTTATATCACCATTGAAGTTTACAAGAAAATTAGATCACTCAACAAATAATTTATATATATACAGAAATTAATTTTTTGTAAAGTAACATGTACTATATATCACTTAGCCTTATAGTTGAGTCCTTTTTAAAACATGAAAGTCCATGTTAAACATATTAATTTTAGCCATTTAAAATAATGAATTGAAGCCCACATTACATGTAAGATAGTGCATTGTTGAAAAAAGTCCACATGATAGGCACGATAGTGTAATTTCAAATAGAGTTCACGTGAAATGCACGAGAGCACTTTTGTCCTATTATCACACAATGAAACCTAGTACATTGTAATTCTTGTTCAGAGTAATACGGGAAAAATTTCCAACTTTGATGAACTTTCGAAATCATAATATTTGGCCAACTAAATCACGTAATTTTTTTATGAAACTTTTTACACAACTTATACAACATATATACATCATAAACGAGTCAATAGAACTTCAAAAAAATACTCTAAAGGTCACGGCCTTCACAGGGACAGAAATGGAATTTCACAGGGGCAGAAATGGAAAAATTCTCCCCTTCACTTCCTTTGAGCTTTCATCCATAATATCACTTATTTCTACTAATTTAAGCACTAATCCAACATTATTAACATCAAAACTCACAAATCAGTCCATCAAGCTATAGTGGGAGTTCATAGAGCCCACACACCAAATTTCCAACATAAATAAAGCTACCCATAAGAAATTATGAACTCATAAGTACTAAACAACTTCTATAAGTCGAGATTTGCAAGGTCGATCGTCACTTACTTTCCTAGATGTTCAAGGCAGAAATTTCGATCCTCCTTAGCTCAAGAAAAACCGTGGATTTGAAGCTCTTTTGTAGCTTGAGTTGCTCTCCAAGTAGATTGCAAAGTGTGGTTAAAGTTTGAGGTGATTTGGAGTAAGATTTGAGGTATAAATGAAGAGTTTTCTTTCCTTTTTTTCTTTCTTGTTTTGGCCGGCTCTTGAGGTGAGAAAATGAGAGTTTCAGCCGTGCACTTGAGGTGAGAAAAGAAGGGTTTTGATATGGTGTGATGCTTCCATGAGAAGCTTAAGAATGTGTGACCAAAATTCGTTCAAAAGTCAACCCTCTCCCCGCGCGCGCACGCGCGCATTTCGTGCTCGATTCCTCTCGAGTTTGTTTTATTTGAGCACTATACCTCTAATGCACTTATTTTCATACTATTATTATTCATTCTCAATAGTCTAAAAATAATGGTTTTAAATCCTTTGATAGGGTATAATTTGTTAGTAATTTTATTATTAATTTCCCCTTCTATCCCTGACAAATATTGTGTTAATTGCTGGTATTTACTCATATTTGGTATTTGAAATCAATTTCAGGAATGAAGCGGAAAATTACCAAACATGAGTGTCTTTTTGGAGAAAATTGGGACTTCAAGCAAGTCGCAGGCCAGGGCCACAATGCTGAAAAGAATTGGACTCCCATTCCTTTATTGTTGTTGACCAAGAAGATTACAGAGAGAGAACTTCAAGGCTTGGGCCTTTGACTTCGGTAGGGACCACGGAGGAAAGAAAAATGGCTTTGGTCCTTTTGTGCTGAAGAAAAGAAAAGCAAAGTGGAGAGCAAAAAGGGACTAAGAAGAAATTGGGAGACTTGTGCCAATTGGTGGGGACCGCACATTAGTGTCACTTTCTTTTGACTTTTAAAAGAGGGCAACAACGTACAAAGGACGGGGGAGCTTTACCTCTAGTTGGAGTCTTTCAGTTTAGTTTTAGTTTTTTTCCTCCTGACTGGCCTCTGACACACGCCAGGTGTTCGACAATATTTCCCAACGGGAAAAACACCTTTTATTCCTTGCTTCTTAATAGAAAACGCAATGCCTTTGCAATCTATTAATTCGTGTGGTGATTTAATTATGCGGCGTGGCTAAGTCTTCCATCTAGTCAAGGGTCAACTCGACGGCGCAGTCCCGAAAATCTGTGAGATCTAATTAGTTTTCACGTGTTCCTTTATTTATTAATATTTGCACGTTGTCTGCTTGAATTTTCATGGGATTATTTTATTAATTGGATGTCAAGGGCCCGATGTTCAATGTGATTTATTAATCTCGTGCCAATTTAGTCAATTAAATCCGTAATTGTTTGATTGATTAATATTAGTGGCAACTGATGTGTTTACACATTAGGGGAACGTGCGATCTAATTTAAATAACCCTCGTAGCGTGTTATTGATTAGGGCTAGGTTTTTCTAGTTATTAATGCAATTGGGAAATTAATTCCTATGGTCGTACCTAGGAGTATTTGCTGATTAGGGGTAATCAACGGTCGTACCTTGGTTACCAATAATTTAAGGAAAAATTGGTCGTCAGACTATAACTAGCCTATTACTAAATTAAGTGAACCTCTCCTGCATCAATGATCGGATAAATGGACTGTGCCTGAGTAGTTGCATCCTTGGCTAGAATTTATTTACTCCTGATTAAATTCCTGCTATATTTGTGCTAGTGATTTATTCATTTTTAATTAAATTGTCCAATTATTTTTAGTTTCATTCGGTGAAATCCCCCCTTGTCAATTGGACTTTGAAAAGAAACAGATATCTCCAGTCCCTGAGGAGACGACCCTACTTGCCACTGTCTACTATTCAGTAATTTTCGTCAACTAATTAATTCTGGTATATCGGGTTAAGCAAACTCTTCGGAACAGGGGGAATCAAGTAACCCATTGCACACCTAGAGTCCCTGCTCCAGTACCTAGGATTAATTATTGACTGCTCTTAGTGGTAGCTAGGTTCTATATTTATTATTATTATTATTGCACAGGTTGACGCCCTGTCATCCTTCAATTAATCGCGCGCGTGAAAACGCGTACCTCCGATTTTTGCGCGATAAAACGAAACTTTCAAGAAATTCTTATAACGATAGCTTTACTAACTAATAATCGAACACTTAAACATAAAAATACCTATTTCAAGACTAATGTACAAGTCTCCAATTTTCCAAGCTTATTGTATTCTCGAATCGATTATTGTTTCCAAATGCATATTCACTAATCTCACTTAACGAGTTTTCAAAAATTAAATTTTGAAACGAGTCATTTTAAAAATATAAGTAAGTCATAGTTCCTTGTAATTGGGTCTAAAAAGATTTGAAATAAATTATTCAGAGAAAATGGGTGAATAAGAATAATATAAAATAAGAAAATTTCAGGTCCTCACAATTACAACCTTGGATTTGGTCGAAAAGTTGCCAAATGGGCCAAAAACAACAATGGGCTAGTTTGAAATTTGTAACTGGTATAATTTTTGAGAAATTTGATTGATAAATATAATAATTGGCAATTGAAAGTCTAAATTGCTTAAATTACCTTGGCCCTGACCTGAAAGAAAAAGGGAGAAATAAAATTAAAAGGAAAAGAATAACACGTTTTCTATAACTCTATTTACCGTAACTCTCTAAAACAACCAAAAGTTTTTTTTAAACACTTACAAAATGAAGAACACTGGAAAAACACCCATCTCCACTATCACCAATCTACCACTATTCCTACCTTCCACTATGACTGCCATTCTTCCCACTATTGCTATTATGTGTACTTCCTTCTTATCACCACCACTCTGTCCTATTTCTTCTTTTCTTTCCTCTATCACCACCTCTTTCTCCTCCCTCCCTTCTACTCTTTATTTAATAAAATTATGATGTGTTTATTTTAAAAAAAGGAAAAAATCTTTTACTCGTGATTTTAATCATTTAAGCTTTTCATTGTTATTCTCCATAAGAAAGTGAAAACCATGGAATTTGGGCATATCCATGCCAACAATATATATATTCCACTTACTTTGGGACCATTTCTGCAAGAGTTCCAGAGAACACATTTGAAGATTCACATTACTAAGTCCAAAAGTATAATTAAGGTCAAACATAATTAGTCAGAAGTTTTATTCAAGTCCGGAGAAAGAAATTCCAAACTCACTTCTTTGGAAACATGGTAGTTTGATACTTGATGATGAAGTTGGCAAGTTAAGATGTTGTACACTGTTCGTGATGTTAAAGCAATCGTGGAGAGCATCATTGGCTTCCCTCTTTATGATCTGAGCCTAATTTATGATGGCAAAAAACTTAATGATTCAAAGGTCCAATCTTGTCACAATATTACAGCAGAATCAACCTTACTGATGTTAGCGCAAAATTTTTTTCAGATATCTGTCAGGTACTACAATTTAATCTTGACGTGCATCAAGATTGTTTGATCAAAGCTGTGAAGAACAAGATTTTTGATAGGCTAAGATTCCCAGTTGATTCCCAGATTCTGGAATGTAGAGGAATACCTCTAAACAGTCGTCAGCATTTAGCTAGTTACAACATTCAGAGAAAGTCCATAATTCAACTGTATAATCTTGCCCGTTAATTGAATTACCTAAGAAAGTAACATCTTCTTTGTGCAAGACTGAAAGGTCATTTTTCAAGATTTTACTTATGATGCTAATTAATCTCTACAGTCTTTTTGCATTTTGGATTACTTTTAACTGTAAAGAAAAATATTGGGGTGTTTTTTTTTTATCAATCATCACTTTGTCTATAGTATCCTACACTATCCTAATCTAAGAGGGAGACACAAGTCACCCAACTAGGTCTAGAGGGCCGGTAGGGACTAAACCACCATCAGACTAGACAGATGCACTATGCACCCGTCTGATTTTTTTTAAGAAACCACTTAATGTGGTAATTGATGGGAGGCAAAGGAGTCTTAAATAGCTTAGTGGTGGCCATCAGCCCAAAGGCTGGTGGTTAAAAAAATTGGGGTGTTGATCATAACTTTTCATTTCTTCTAATTTTCTTGTGAAACTGTTGGTATTTGTTTTGGAAACGGGCTTCTTATAGCTAAAACAAATTTATTCCTCCTTTAAACTTGTTGCATATGAGGAAAGCCTGACAAAAGATGCTAACTGTATTAAACTCAGAGAGGATTTCTGATTTAATCAGGGCAACAGTTGATGCTAACTTTTCATGATATGATCAAGCTTTTGCTCATTCGAGAAGTATTACCATGCTATGTGACTGAACAAGTCCCTAGTTGTTGGACAAGAAAACAAATAAAATTACAGATGACGATGTCTCTAATGTAATATGTTGTGTTTCTTTTCCTCCAGTGCAATGTAGTTGAATAATTACTTTAGCTTTTTTGTCTAACATAATTCAATTCAATGTGCAAATTCTAAGACAATACCTCTATACCGGCTCAAGTTGTAGTAGTGTAAAACTTCTTTTTTTTTTGAGATTATTGGTTTGCCTTTTCTTTTCATACATTGGACATTTTTTTCTCCCCCTTTGGGTTTAGCTACACTTTGCACTCAATATTTAAATTAGCAGACCAAGCAATTGTGAGCAATTTTTTGTTATGGTTATTCAGAAGCAATATAAAAAGGATGAAGTCTTTGTAAAAAAATATTTGGGAAGTCCATCGGAAAATCACCAATTTGACAAGAAAAAAGGGAAGATTGAAAGTCATGTACAGGATCTACAGACCAAATAGATGATCAAATAGGTTCGAGGGTGACATCATTTTTATTATTACACATTGTTCCCTTTATCCTCCTGAATTTTACTTGAATTCATGTACTTCAGATTTTTTTTTCTTTTGATTAAATACAAGCACTAAAAGAATTGGAGCGTCAAAATTCTTAGTTGCAAAGCAAGCAATCCAGGTGTCACTTTCAAATTTGAATTAAGTAGATTTTCTGAGTACTCTTTTTTTGGCTGTTGTTACTGTTTTGCAGATAAATATATGCTTGCCTGTTATGAAACCGGTTGCTTTGAAAGTGAAGAAATCAGATACAGTTAGAAAAGTGAAAGCAATGTTGAAAGAAAAGAAAAGAATATGTGAATGTCTTCTGGAATTCTTTTCTGCTGGTCATGGAGGATGATCAAAATCGGGCTCAGTTGGGATTCAGCAGAATACTAATCTCCATTTTTTTGTTCAAAATTTGCTGTCAACGAGACTGTTTATCAAGAGAGCATCTGATCAGAAAGTCCTCCAGATTGATGCAGAGGCTTCTGATACCATCCACAATGTTTAATATCAAATGTTTAATTGAGGCCAAAGACGGGATCTGATAGGATGTAATTTGTTGCTAAATTTATAATTATTTTTCCCTTGATTTTAACCAAATATTATTTTAATTAATAGATTCTACCTATATTTGATTAATTGTGTTAATTGTAGGGAGGTGGAGTAAAAAGTGACAAAAGAGGTGATTTTTCAAGAATTACTGTCAAGTCCAGATGATTCGGGAATTTACTACGCATGGGATTTCCTAATTCGAGTCAAATATGGACATCTTTGGTGGAATTTGAAAGACTTTAATTATCTTTGTTAGTTGTAGAGTTGAATTAGAAAACATGAGTTATTATTTTTTTTATTTTCTTTTTCTAATTAGACAATAGGCCTTTGTTATGAGTAGTAGATATCAAATAGGAAGCAAAAGAATAAGGGAAGTCCGCCGAGTCCCGTTTGATTAGTACTTCTTAGGGAGGAAAAGGGTCAGTCAGCTATATATATTAGCAGACTAGTCACTTAGATTAGGTTTTATCTTTGTTTCGGTTGGCCGCATGTCTTCACGTTGGCAATTTTCCCAACAACGAAGAACTAACTTCTCGTTTTCTAGTCGAAAGTCAACTTGAAGATTCGGTTCCAAACATATGTGAGATCGAATTATTTTTATTTATTTATTTTATTCATTGGTATTCGTATGTTTTCTGGTTTAACTTCTTATGATTGTTTTGTTATTTGAATGTCAAGGGTCCGATATTCGAATTAACTTAATAATCCACCGCCAAATTAACCGATTAAATCTGTAATTGTTTGATTGGTTAATACTAATGACGACTAGCATGATTGGTCCCATGTTAGGAAAATGTATAATCTAATTTAAACAAATCCCGTAGCGTGTTTATTGATTAAAGTTGGGCTTTTCTAATTCTTAATGCAATCGAGGAATTAAATCCTACGGTCGCACCTAGGGTTATTTCTTGGTTAGGCAAATAGTTAACGATTGTATCTTGACTATCAATAAAGTAAGGAAAAGTTGGTTGTTTATCGCGTGTATAGCAACTATAACCAATCTATTAACTAATAATTGAATTATCTTTACATCGATGATCAATTGAATGGACCGTATATAAAAAGTTACACCTTTGCCTAGAATCGTATCTATTGTTGATTAATTCCTACTTATTTTTGTGAGTTGCTTTTATTTAGTTAATTAGTTATTTTTATATTTTTGTAAAAACCCCCATCTCTGAATTCTAAAAGAAATAAATTATCCCTAGTCCCTATGGATTCGATACTCGCCTATATATAAAATTTGTATTTTTTTTGAGTAGGTAATTATTATTGCACAGGCTCGACACCTGTCAGGATCCCTTGTGATAAGTTCAGTCTAATTTATTCCGGTAAGCCCCTTGAGGATGATCATGAAACCTTAGCCTCTCTCGATATCCAGGGTGAATCAACTCTTCATATGGTGCTTTGGCCAAGAGATGTATTGCCAATCTCTGTGAAAATGTAAAATGAAGAGTTGTTGAAGAGGGAAGTCAAGTCGTTGTACACTGTTCGCGATGTTAAAGCAATCGTGGAGAGCATCGTTGGCTTCCCTGTGAATGAGCAGAGCCTAATGTGTGATGGACAACAACTTGATGATTCAAAGGTCCTATCTTCTTATCATATTGCTGCAGAATCCATCTTAAAGATGTTAGTGCAGAATATTTAGATACTTGTTAAGGATGGTTTCAAACAATTACTCTTGATGTGTGTCAAGATGTTATGATCAGAATTGTGAAGGACAAGATTTTTCACATAACAGGATTGCGAGTTAATCCCCTGTTTTTGGAATCCCTGTTTTTGGAATATGGGGGAAAACCTCTAGATAATTTTCAGAGTTTGCCTAGATATAACATTTAGAGAGTGTCCACACTTCATCTAAGGAGGTTTGGGATGTTTTTAATTGTATTAACCAGAAAAGAATATGATGTTGTGCAAGAAAGATTGAGACATCCTTTGTCAAGATTTTGCTTTCTGATGCTACTGGATATAATCTTGGTGATTTGTCAAAGTGGAGTTTGTTGCTTTCACTACTGTCTTGTCTTGGTGATGGACGCATTTAAAGGTTATCAAAACAGTTTTGCTGTGAATAATTCAAAGCTAAAATATCCAATTTTGTCAAAAAATGTGAAAGCAATGTTTGAGTCAGGAGGGGAGAGTAATGCTTTGTTTCAGGAGCTTTTGCCTAGAGCTGGTCATAGGATTCAATTAGACTACTAAGTATGACACTAGCTAATCATAGAATTCGGAGGGATTAGTGACTTTCAAATTATCTGAAGTAGAAGATGATAATTGGTCATGGAAGGATATATTATGGTTGATACATGAATTTGTGATCCCATCTTTGTATCAAATGTTCGATTGGGGCCAAACAAAGGGTACATTCACATAACTTTGATTGAAGATGACCCTGTTTGGAAGTGCAAGTTTTAGCAAGTTTGTTTCCTACAAGTTTTTTAACAATTTTTG